AGCATGCAAGGCAGGCAGGCAGGGAGACAAGGAGGGAGGGAGGGAGGGAGGGAGGAAGGGAAGGAGGGAGGGAAGGAGGGAGGGAAGGAGGGAAAGGAGGAGAGGCCCGCCGTACCTTCTCGAGTTCTTTCTTGGCCGTTGTGTCACAGGCTGGCTTTTCTTCCTCCTTCAGCTTTTTGAGCAGCTTTTTCAAAATCTTTTCCTCCGCTTGCTGTATTCGACGAGGATGGCAAAAAGAGAGAAAATCAAGGAAAGATTCGAAGCGACCGCGGCCCTTTTTCCCGTCCCTCCCTTCTTCGTCCAATCTTGTACTTTCCTTTGAGAGATCGACCGATTTCCAAACCCCTTCTCCACCTCGAATTGCCTCTTTCTCCACGTACCCTGATGTACATATCCTCCATGGCGTGCTCCTTATCGTCAAAAGACGACTTCCCAGACATCCTCATAGCGGGGGCGGAGCGCACGGTCACCGCGGCGGCCAGCGTGGGCCGCATGGACGCGGAGGAAGAAGAAATCAGACGACGGAGGGCCATGATGTCCAAAAATTCACAATGGCGTGTGTATTTGGCTGTGCATGCATGGATGTATGCAGGAAATTTGAGGAAGGGCGGAGTCTCTGTGGGTAGCTTCAAGAAGCGGGGAAGAGAACAACAAGCAAACGGTCCTATGCCTGACAAGCAATCCAACGACCTAGACAAGTAAAAGCCCAAAGCCACCTCCGCGCGGTCATTGCCACATGTACAAGCGCGCCTGACTGCCGTGTGTTGAGCGCGGCCAAGGCCTCAAGAAGAAGTGAAAGAGTGAGAGAGAAATACGCATTGTACTCGCTCAGCGCTCCGTCGAACCCACTAGCTGTAAGAGTCTCATTGAAACCGTGCGACCACAGGCCTCAAACCTGGTATTCCCCTCTACGTGCCACACATCTTCCACGCATCACGTGGACAAAGTGAAGGCCTGTCCACAGCGAGTTGTCCTGACTTGCGAATGTGTTGGTGGCGTCCGTTTCCATTTCTTCTCCTTAGAGTAGAGGGTTCTCGCCCGCGCCGCAGTAGCACCCTCGTCACATTTCCCCACGACTGAAGCCTGATGCCGACGAGGGGTGGGGGCAAGGCTTGCGTATGGAGGTTGAAGAGACAGATGCTTCTCAAGCGATTTATTGGCTGATTTGGAAGGCTTGAGCGTCGGGGTCACGGCGGGGCGGTTCAGCATTGTGTCCCTTTATTCTTCATCAGGATACGAGGAGCATTGGCTCCTGGAATGCCCCCCGTTGGTCTCTTTTCCTTCCCGTTACTCAGTAAATCACCCCTTCCCGCTTGCGAATATCTCATAGATACGTTGATAGCTAGGAGTCATGGCCCTCCGTCAAATTTTGAAGGTTGCTACCAGTGCAGTACGTGTCCAAGCACAACAGCGCGGGATGCTGACAGTCGGTGAGTCTCAGCGCTCCCCTCCCTTTCTCTTCCTTCCTTCCTCTGTCCCTTTCCTTTATCTCCTGCTCATACGATATGCATCAATTGCATGCCATAGCGCGCCGGGGGATGCCTGCATTGGTTACAAGTTTGCAACAGCGGCAAGCCTTGTTGTCCCAGCCTGTTTGTAATGGATTGAGCGGGCGGAGCTTCAGTGCGCAGGTATGTCAAGAGAGTCGATGCTTGCCAAAAGGCACTGGGTGAAGAGTATGAAGGGGGATTGAGTGGGGCCCGCCAAGTGCATGGGATTGAGGAAGGGGGGATGGCGGGGGAGAGGAGGGAGGGGAGGCGGGATGTGCTGATCACTTATTGACCCCCACCACACACCTGACGGTAATGCTGACACGCCCACAGACGTTCTTGGACGAGAAGGAGGTGACAGAGCGGGTTCTCTCTGTCGTGAAGAACTTCGAGAAGGTCGGGCAGGAGCATGGGGGGAAGGGTGACGGAGGGAGGGGTAACGAGGAAGGAAGGGGGAAGAAAGGAAAGGGGGAGGGGTTCGTGCACGTGGGGCTCCGACCCCACGCCGTCCTTCCATGCCATGCACTCTCGTATTATAACCTGTTTGTGCGCGCTGTGAGCCCGTTTCTACGCGGAAAGAGGTGTGCTCGGCACCGACGTCTTGCTCATGCGGATTCTTCCCGGTGCCCTCCTCCCGACACGTCCCCCTCAGGTGGAGCCTGGGAAGGTGACACCGGCGGCTCGATTCAAGGAAGACCT